ATGTATCAATTTCATTTATTTCTATATCAAATGATTTATATTGAGCAAGTAAAAGTCTTAATGGTAAAAGAATACTTTGATCATCATCTTCTGTATCTATTAAATCAAAAAATGGCCAAAATAAATTAATATGTGGTGGCCATTGATTAATTAATGGATCATGAAATGATTCAATTAATGACAATTTATTCATTGGTGGTAATAAAACAAGTGCTGAACATTGACTAATTGATCGTATTCGAAAATTAATAATTAATTGTAATGCATAATGATCTGATTGATTAATATATTTATTATTTATTAAATCAATAGGAATTGTTTCAAGACCAATCATATTTAGATGTTCAATAGAATAGGAAAGATTATATAATTTATGAAGTAAATATCGATCCAATCGGAGACTAAATTGAAAATCAGATGTTATTTGAGCACAAGTATTACGTGATGGATCAAATGTATAACCAGGATTCTAAAAAAATAAAAACAGGTATTGTTGTTTTTATAAAGATTCTCAATTATGAAGTCGACAATATAATATCATAAGTATGATAGTTAAATTATAGCAAACTACTGAAAAAAAATATGAACAATACATAGGCTTTGAAGGTGGCCTATCTGTTAGACAAAGTTAGTTTTTATCAAATTCATCAATTTTATGATTTATAATTCGTTAGATAGAGCAAAGTGTCTACTCTTGAATACACTATAGTTGTTTGATTTTATAACGAACATTAAGAATATTATATAAGTTTTTCTGAGTCTACATATTGGAAAAAATAAGATTTTTAAAAACTTATTTTTCATTTTTCTTAAAATCTATTTTTTCGAGTATACATTGCATAGAGGACAGTTAGAGCTAGATCTTCATAGAACCCAATTTTTGAATTTTTCTATTGGCGAAATAAAAAAAACTTACATATCTTATTTTTATCAACGATTTTTTTTTTATAAAGAAAACAAAATAAATTTCAAAATTCGGGTTCTGTGAGAATCTAGCGCCAAGAGTACTCTACAACTTAAAAACAGTCTTGCCATGTTAGCTCGTGTCATGATCATGAAAACTTTGCTCGCATAGAAGGGCTAACATTCTCTGAAATTTGGATTGAATTTCATGGAAAAATAAAGAAGTTCGTTTGTGGGGGGCTTAAACAAACTGTTTAAATTTGAACTTGAACAGGTAGTTTGATAACAAGTTTTATTCTTAGTTGAAACTCATTGTAAAAATTTCATGCAAATAAACTTGAATTTTGATATAGAACAAAATATTGTACCTCATCAAGATCATAAATATCTTTCCAAAGATCATGTATTTGATATTGATGTTTTTGAAGTATATTTTGTTCTATTATATCATAATCACCAAAATTAAAATCTCCAATAAGTATATAATTTTGTGTATTCATTGTTTTAAAAAAATATTCTAATGATTGACAACGTTTTTCATTTGCATTAAATGTATGATTACTATGTAAATGAAGATTAACTAAATCAATAGTTACATCTAAATTTAATCCAAATCGTGCAATAATATATTCTTTAGTTCGTTTATTTCTTGAACTTATTATATTTTCAGATATTTCAAGTGGACATATTGAAAATGCTCTAGGTTGAAAATTTTTCATTAACATTAATTGTCCATAAGAATGTTTTTGATTATGATCAAGAATATTTCCCATTATAATAATATAATAATTATTTTCTTTTAACCAAATTTCATTTAATAGAAGATTAAGAAATTTTATTGTTACTTCTTGTAAACAAATAATATCTGGTAAAAATGATTTAAGTGTTTTTAATATTTCATTATATCGTTGATTTGTATAAATAAATTCAGTTTGATAATAATCAAAAAGTATATTCCATGTTAGAAATTGACATCGTTCTGGTAAAAACATATTATCTATGGATGAATTTTTTACATTATCTAATTCTAAAGATATATGTGGACATAAAATCCATTGTTGAGTTGATTGATCATAATGATATAGTCCTTCAACTAAATTTGATTCTTCTTGTTCAATATCTATTAAGATTTAACAAGGTAATAGAATTGATATCGAAAGAATTTGTCAAAAATACTTTTCTATTATTGTTAATTGATAAAAAAAAACTTGTTAGCACAGTTTAAAATGTGAAACTTATGTGTTATTTAGACTAATAGAAAATAAATAAAGTGAAAAATATCTAGAAGACTATAGTTGATTTTCAAGAATAATAGATGAGTCAGTAAGTTTTAATACACTATTATATATATATACTGATAAATATTAATTTTCATCTATGAAAAACTGAAACAATCGAAGTTCTATTGTTATTTAGGATCTTTTTCATTGCTAAGAAACTTTGGAAAAGAAGAAATAGGAATCTTAACTTAAAATTTACACTTATTATTTTACTTCAAATAATATTATCGAAATTCTGACTATGAAAAAATGAATTTACAGTTTCAACTAGACTATTAATCAAAGAGGAGAATTTTTTATAATTATCTATAAACGATTTATTTTCTACATACCAGCAGTAGTTTCATTATGTATTGCACTTCCAGTTAAAATATCATATTTTTTAGTTCTATCCCAAACAATAGATCCATTAATTTTATAATATCGAATACGATGCATTGGAATACCATACTAATAATATCAAAAAAGAAAAAAAAAATATATATATATAATATAACATAAAAGAATTGTCTTACATCATCGTCATGAATTTTTTTAAATTCATTAAATTTTATTTCATGAATACCTGTAAAACGATCTTCATAACCAATAAGAACTTGTGAACGATCAATTGTTGTATCATATGCAATTTGATTAAATATAAGATCAGCACTATGAAATTTTCCTATTTGTATTGATGTATCATCTTCTTTTAATTTAATTATTGTTGATATAGAATTTTTTTCATTAGATTTAAAATTTTCATTTGAAATTTGTAAAATATATTGTTGTATTAATTGAATAAATGTATAAATAGATGTATTAGATTTTGATTGTTGAATAAGTTTATTAAAATAATCTTGAATATTTATCCATTGTTCATTTGTAAGTAAATTTTTATTTGTTAATTTTGATATATGTAAATCATTTACATTATTAATTATTAATGAATTAAGTGAATTATAAAAAAAACTTATACAAATATCATAATCAAGTTTTAAACAAATTTTATTGAAATTTTCTGATGATTGAATTTGTAGATGATCATCTGAATGAAGTATTGAACGAAGTAAATTCAATTCATCCATATTGTTTTCTACCATGTAAAATATCGATATTTGTCGTGCACTTGTATTGTGATACTTGATAGTGATAAGAATGAATAAAATGACTGGCTTTCATCGATATTTCTATAGAAGAAAATAAAAATAATTTTGTAATTATATTATTATGATTTCACAATCAGTGGTAATGATTGTTAAGTAAAGAAATACAATAGCAAAGAAATATAGATAAAACGAAAAACAAAAAGCGAATATTGTTCATATTGAATTAATCATACAGAGGTTTTATGATAGAAATGATGTGAACAAACAAATCTTTGGTTTTTATTATTTATATAAAAATCAGTTTATGTATTTTTTTATTTTATAAGAAAATGAAACGATAAAAATAATTTTTTTTTATCATTTGATTTAATCAACAATAGACGTCGCTAGAAGACGGACCTTTTTCCATCATTGGCGTTGTTTTTTTATTAAAAAAAAAAATCTGTATTTTGTGTCTCAACGTTCGAGAGGGAAAATCATTCTTATGTTAATTGAAGTTTCACTGTCAAAAATTCAGATTGTTTCGCACCGCATTTATGCAGTCATTTTACTATCTTATGATTACATCTCTTCAGCTCTATATCTTTGTTACGCTAGAAATAATAAAAGGAGTAAAAACAAGCTTATTACAATCCCATCAATAGAGTAGATATTCATCTTATCAAACTTCCTATATGAGATTCTTACGGAATAAGATTCATTACGATTGGACGCTGTGAAAACAACTTCTACTTTCTTCGATGTATGAACATTATTTAAATAGAATATTTGATGCAGTTTGTAGTGCTTTGCTAACGATATAGTGAAAGATGAATATAATAGATGAATAGTATAGGAGACAGTTATGTTATGTAGGTTTTTAGTTGAAAATTTCCGTGTGGGTTAAAAAGACATTCTTTTGCATTTGTTATCGAGAGCGCAAATTGTTTGTTTGAATCATATATCATGAGGTAAATTTTAAATGATAACAGGCTTTTAAAAGGATGAAAAATAGTATGTTGTGATTGTGTCATCAATAAAAACTAAACGAATCCATGGATTGATTTAAAATGTTTTACTAATATACTTGAAACTATAGACTGTAATTTGATGAAAACCAAATGATTCTATCCTTTTCAGTTGGTCTGAAAATATGAGAACATCGATCAAATTTGTTCACTTCTAACTTAGATAGATAAGGATTGTTTTCGGTGTTCATCTTTTCGAACAGTTTAAAGATGATATTGAAAAGTTGTATGAAAGTCGAAAAAGACGTTGAAGATAAACTAATTAGTTATAATTTTTTCAAGTTGCGATCATGGGAGATTAATCATCGGACGTTGCTATGATTTAGATCTGTTTGCGAGTATGGGTCTGGGTATATGAGTATGTTTTTCTACTTGCCCACGCATACACCTTTTTTTATCGAAAATTTTACTCAGGGCCTCTCACGATTCAGTCGGGTGTGGGTGTGTAGGTCTTTTCCTCAACAACACTCACATCCACACACTTTTTGGGTGTAAGATTGCATTTGAAAAAAGTTTCGTGCTTCAGCATTTTTACAACCAAGATCACTCGATCCTTTCCTTATTTTGAAAGTTTGACGAAATAAAATGCTGTTCTTACTGGTATGTTTGCTTTCAAGTAGTATCACATGTTTTTTCTTGCTTTCTAATCATAATTACACATGCCGTTGATAAAAAGAACACTCAAAACTTTCCTTTCGAATATTGCTATCAAATAAGTAATCATGTGCCTTACTATTGGCTTTATTATTATATTATACATATTCTATCGTTTATATCGACATTTTTTTCCAACACCAAACATTGATCCCAATGGCAAATATGTTCTTATTAGTGGCTGTGATACTGGATTCGGCAATGGATTAGCTATTGAGCTTGATAAACAAGGTTTTAATGTTCTTGCTGGTGTTTTCGTTCCTTCCAGCCTAAACTCTCTTAAAGATATACTTTCACCAAGAGCCACTGTCTTTCGTCTTGATATTACTAAAGAAGAAGATATTAATGCTGCATTTGAATTAGTCAAAGAAAAAACAAACGTCCTTCATGCACTTGTTAATAACGCTGGTATTGGTACCGGTGGCTACATCGATTGGATAACATTAGAACATATGCACAAAATAATGGATGTAAATTTTTTTGGACATGTAGCAATGACGAAAAAGTTTTTACCATTGTTAATAGCTAAACGTGACTCTCGAGTTGTTAATATTACTTCAGTGATGGGTTTAATAACTCCACCAGGCATGTCAGCATACTGTGCATCGAAACATGCTTTCGAATCGTTTTCTGATTGTCTTCGTCGTGAAATGTTTTCATGGAATTTACATGTTTGTATTATCGAACCAGGATGTTTACGAACGCCAATCATTCAAGGACAAGATCGTATCATACAAGATTTATGGAATGGAGTATCAGCTGATGTTCGAAACAGATGGGGCAATGATTTTTTCGATGATTTACTTCAAAAAGCCGTAACAAAAAGTCCATTTATTAATCGTGCTGAAGATCCGATCAAAGTCGTAAGAGCACTTCGACATGCTGTTATGAATACTAAACCTCGTATTCGGTATCAGCCAGATTTACATGCTAAACTTTTGTTTTATCCCGCTTCTATGCTTCCTGCTTGGTTATTTGATATAATTGCTTCGAAATTAATTGGCTCATCTCGTCTTCCTGCTGGAGTTAAAAATCAAATTCAAGACTAATCGAATCAAAATCATTACTTTCAAAAGTTTTCGATGATCCAAAAAAAAATGCAATGATTAATTTATTCGCTCGAAATTTTCTACGCCTATATTAATCTAAAAGTGGGGTGTGGGTGTGGGATAGTGTGGGATGGTGTGGGTGTGCGTGTGTAGGTGTCGGTATGGGTGTAGGTCTTGTTTTCTCTCATATTCAGACCTACCCATATGCACACTGACACAACACCTAATAGGGATAAGGATATAGAATTAAGGGTAAGGGAATAAGCGTAAAGGGATAAGAGTATAATATATGAAGTTCTTCATGCATTAAAATGTATTTTAAACAATAATATACGCAATTACATGATAATCATGGTATTCCTATTGAAAAATAATGCATTGAAATGCACATTATTTCTAAAAATCGGCTACACAGCCAGTCAATCTCAAGATCCAAAGAATAAATAGTTCTATTTTAAAGTTTTTTTGACTTCAAATTTCTTTGTTTGATCTCTGATTGGTATGTTCTTTTACATTATTTCTATCTATTCAATTTACAAGCTTTTTCAACTAAGAATATTTTCGAAAAATGTCACCGGAAACTTTGAACCGTCATCGTCAATCTCTGCATTGGATTATACTTCTCAGAGTTGGAACCGGTCCGACCGAACCGGACAGGACCGAATTTTTGCCAGTTCATCATTAAAAAATTGTTGGTTGTGTCGAAGAATTTCCTCTACTGAAAAGGTGTTTTTATGATATTTCTACGCCAGAAGAGTGTTTGCGAAAGACTCGATGAATATTATGTCATCCACCTTATTGTAAACAGTTCACTGTTCTCTTTATATCTTTATCGATTCCTTTCTCGTGTACCGCTTAATTTAACCTAGATCATATAATTTGTTTTTGTTATTCTACTTAGACAGCTGCCTGAATCACGAAAAATAAATATTTACACTGTTGTGCTAGCTTTTTTATTGTGAACTGGCTCTTTTTTCTTGAGATTAAAATGAAAAAAAACAGATTTGATCTGAGTAGCTAACTTATATAGATATCGGACTCGAAAAGTCCACGCATCTTGCTATACAATATGAGAGTGACAGTTTCATTCTCAAGTTTTAGTTTCCAGTTCCGATTAGGGGTGGCGATCGCCCTGTTAACTTATTTTAAATTTAAATTTTTGCGAAGTTAAATTTCAAATAAATAACAATTTTTTAAAGATGAAAATTTTAATATCTTTTAAATGTAAATTTTGTAAATTGAAGTTTATTTTAAATTTATTTAAGCCTTTTAAATTTATTCAAATCCAGTTTAAATCAATCTAAATTCAATGTACACTCATTTAATTGGATTTAAATCCAACGGTATGAATTTAAATTGAATTTTATTTGGTTTAAATTGATGTTATATTGATTTAAACTAGATTTAAATAAATTTGAAAAATATAAATGTATATAAATCCATTTTAAATTGAAAATCAATTTAATTTTTTAAATATATTTTTCGATTTATTTAAATTTTGGTAAATGTAAGTTGATTATTTCAAATTCGGACTTTTGCACACCAATATTCGACTCTCCTTCATCACCATTATATGTGAATAGACACTTTTATGGTCGGTTATTTTCGCCGAATTTTTGCCAGTTTGGCTGTAGAATTCATCCGGCCGGTTGCCGACCGAACCAAATAGAAAAAAGCTGTCCGGCTTCAACTCTGATGAGACTTATGGATAAAATTCTAGAGATGTACTACGCTGGGATTACCAGAAAAAATTTGCCGATACCTGGGCTTAAGTATGCAGTAAAATATTCTATGATTTTAAGCATATTATTTCATAAATCGAATGAATGGCAACATATTTCAAGAGAAATAACCCAGAAAAGTGCTAGTCTTAGACTAAATTAATAAAAAGAACGATTATTCAAGAATGCTTTTAGATGTAATACGAGTAAATTCTGAAACAGTCTTTATTAGATCGTAATAGCGGCTCGAAAAAATAAAATTAGTACGACTGAGACCACAATAGAACTTGATCTTGCACATGTTTTGTTTAAATTCATAAAGAAAACCTATAGTTTGGAACGTTTATTTAGTTCTTCTAATCTAAAGACCGTCTCTTTATGCTTGAAATATATGCTCTACATTGATGAATTACATCGTCATATGTTTTCAAATGAACAATAGTGGCAAAAAAATTTACAATAACGTCAAAGGTATTAAGCCCAAAAGTGTTTTTGTAAGCGTCGGCATTAATCTCGAGACGAGAGAATAAAAAGAATAAATAATTGTTTTGAATAAATGATATTCATTAGTATTAATATATAGAGCTTTAGACTGTTGTGGACATTTTGCCAAAGTTAGATATTTATAATATCGAAAATTCTTTAATTCAATGATGAGTACAGTCGGCTACAAAACGATTTCCATACTTATCTAACTTTACTGCAGCGTTTGAATGTGAGTTCGAGTCAGAGCTGGGCAAAGCTGACTCAAGTCAAAACCAAGCTAGGCCAAGCCAGGCTTCATTTGACCTTAACTTGACCACTTTTTTGATCTATGTGAGTAGAGAATGGTCAAATAAGGCCTTCTATGGACAAGAAACCCGTCAAGTCAAGTTTGCCCAACTATGGTTCGAGTGCTTTCCTCAAAGTCATTTCTATAGCTATACCACTCACATTCTGTTTCAAGTTTCTGCTCGGATTTTATTAGGGACAAGTATTTTCGGATCTTTACAAGACATTATCAATCCTGATCAGAAGTTCGATCAAGAAATACAAGGATTCTATTAATTCTTTGCAGATTTGTGTTTGAAGTGTATTTAGAATTTGATTTTCAACATTCTATCGAAATATATGTTGGCGTCCAATGTCGGATTCAGTCCAATCTCGGATTGGCCTAGTCGAATCACGGATGCTTACATTGGACTAGTCCAATATCGGATTGATGCAATTCGATTCACTGAAATATCAATTACTCTTGAGATAGATGTTCGATTCGAATTACTTTTTGAAACTATGTTCACACAATGCCAATTTGTTTGTCACTATCGTTGTTGGAAAGATTTAAGTAAAAGTTTGGGAGTTATGAATAAATTTCTATAGAACAACAACTTTTATGAAAAGTTGTTATAAAGTTCTTCAGTCTAATTTTGGCTTCTTCCTGAATGCAATACTTAAAACGGCACCGTGCGAACATACTTAAAAAAAAATAATTCGAATCCAACGTCTATCTCAAGAGTAATTGATATTTTAGTGAACCGAATTGCATCAATCCGATATTGGACTAGTCCAATGTAAGCATCCGTGATTCGCCTAGGCCAATCCGAGATTGGACTGAATCCGACATTGGACGCCAACATATATAATTGTTTCATCAAGATTTCAACTGATTTTTCTTCAGAACTTGTTGAACATTTGTAAATCTATAGATCATAACAGTATTTCAATAGTAATATTTAATGAAATATTTTTCTAAGACTTTATTGCGTTTTTGTTTCGATTGCGACGGAATCCTGACAATTGATGGCTCTACTAGAATTTTGCTCTGATCTTGATTTGGATCTTTGCATCAACAAATAGAGAGCTTTTGACAACATTTTAGAAGATTTTTTTCTACACTCTTTCAAAAATTGATATTGAAATTTTATTTAAAAAAGTTCTGTTGAGATAATTTGTGTTCATGTAAAATTCAGATAGAAGTTAACATTTCAGTCGAAAATTAAGATACAATACCTTTAAATGAATAATACAATAACATGTCATGACCCAATCAGGTAAGCTGATCAGTTTATAATCTGAAGGTTTAGAGATCAATGTTTCATGTGTTCATTTCTTTTCTGTTCTGGTTGAAAAATCCTGCAAGATGTAATTAGTGTTTTTTTCAAATAGAAATCGTTGAATTCCTTTCTGAATTTTGAAACTCCTTAGATATACGCATTTTTCAGAATTTAATCTATTAGTAATGATGCAGTCATAACATGTGTCATCGTAAATGTTGTGTAGATGAATATTTCAAATCATTAATGACCTAATGATATCTTTTTAAGTGAACTGATTTACTGTGATATAGGGATTGAAACATGTGATTTCATCACAAGTCATTTCATCAATGTCAGTTTTCTCTATAGTCTGGAGAAGCGAAAAAGTTTTATAGTTTTAATATTTTAAGAGTCGATACAATAAATACTTTCGTGTCTTCTGATAAAGTTTCACCGTACATAACCGAAATTTTCCTAGAGCATTTTTCAGTTTATCAATGTTGACTAGTCACATAATAACGAATTGTTATTATCATCATTGAACTTTTTTGTCATTTTTATGATCCAATGTACACACGCGCACTGTTCGGCAGTCCGCCACCACATTTAAGATAAAAACTCAGTGTATAATTCGAGCCGATGATAGTGGGAAAATAATAATATAAATAGTCTACAGCACCTGTCGATCCGTCTTTCCAATAATAGGAGCCTGATTGTGCATTAAGCAAATCATTTATAATAAATCCTGAATTCGTTGCATTATATGGATTGCATGCTGACCAGCCAGTTCCATTACCTAAATGAAAGTCTCCATTTGCCAACAGTTCTATAGTTGTTCCAGATTTTTTGACAGAAACTGTGTCCAGCAACCAATAGTTTGAATCCATACGGAATGATAGTGTGAGACGTGTTGATGTCGTGAGAGCAGTGAAAGTATAAGTATACTTTGTATAGCTTTGACTGCTCACATTTCCTAGATCAAGTAGTGATGTTGCATTAGCTAAACTCGCTGTACAATTCCATGCTGTCGTTGTAGCAGTAGCTGAAAATAAAAAATATGAAAGCGTCAATTTTGTTCTACTTAATTTATCAGTATTCATTTTTGACATGGCTGCTGTTATCATTGTTGATGAGGTGAAGCTGTGGTGTGCACGATCTCTTCATCAAATAAAACTTCTCACTCCAGTCATGCTTGTATAGAAAGATCTTCGACAAGGCATTCTCACGAAGATCAATGGGTTGAGGGTTCGATATTTACCATTAC